GTCATGTTATGTTGATTTTAGTCGAAGTTGTCGGAGTTAGTCGCCGTATGACAAGCGAGGTGCCAGTCGTAATGTCCAGCCCGCACGTAGCGGGTGCGGCATGCCCAACGGTAGCTTGTGGCTTGCGGATGGCTTGCGTGTGCCCAGTAGGGCGTCACGCATAGCCGTGCCGTAGTGTCCAATAGCGTGCCACCAGCGAGCCTGTGCGTTGGCGCGTATCGCACACCAGTCACGCACGGAAGCACGCAGTCCGCCTGCGCGCGTTCAACGCCAGGCAACACCTAGCCGCCTCGCACGTGTTCCATCAGCCAGTCGTGCCCAGTACACGCCGGCGAGTTCAAGCACCCGTTAACGTACCAGTCGATATGCCAGCAAGTCCTCATGCAGGCTAATACGCCTAATTATATGCCTGTCGGCCGTGGGCAGTGCCCAACAGCATGCCCGAGAATCCAGTACAGTTAGGGTCACCCGGTAGCGCCCGTGCGGTACCAATACACGCTAGCCAGCGCCAGTCCATGCATCCAGCGTTGGCCCAAACCGCCCAGTCGCCTACCTGCGGTGCCATGTCATGTCATGCGTCCAGTCGATCATCGGTCGTGCCAGCAGCGCCCGATGGCTGTTCCATGAACGCACGCGTTGCGCCAGTCGCACGCCAGTGCCCATGATCATGTTCAGTTGGCACAGGCTAACGCTTGTCGTGCCCAGCGAGGTTCAGTCTAGGCCAGCTGTGCCTAGTGGCACGCCAGCGCGCGCGGACGCCCATGCCCGCGCTAGGCACAACCAGTAAGGCCCGGCCGTGCCTAGGCCGAGCCCAGTCCATGCCAGCGACCGCGCTCTGGTACCAGCAGGCCCGACACGGGACCGAACCAGTTGGCCGAGCCAGCGGCCGACCGCCCGGCCACAGCGGGCCGGCGGTCCGGCCATCCCGTGATCCCACCGGTTCAGACAGGTTTAGCTCATATTTTAATATTACTGATCCGACCAATGTTCATGTCAGGATTTCAGTTAAATTCTAGTCCAGTTCAGTATACTCATGTCAATCTGGTTCCATTCTAATCCAGTTCCAGTTATACTGGTTAAGTCTAGATGTCATGTCAATTCAAGTCGAGCATCTTAACATATTAACCAATTATTTTTAATCAGTCTGAGCATAGTACTTAGTACTTTTTATATCATGTTGCAGTTTGATCAGTCTACAGTCATTAGCACTACATTTTCATATCGACGGTTCAGGTGGGACTCAGTCTGCCCACTAGAGTGTGCACATGGTGTCCGACATTTTCATGCTGGCATATGAGGTAACGGTTATGTGATGGTGATGGTTTACCGGTACATGTTGATGGTTATGTATATGTCAGGATCATGATATTATTATTATTTTCACTGTTTACTTTAGTATGAGTTCCTACGGAGCACAGTGGATTTAGTGCTCACACCCCACGATGTTTATGTTTTTCAGGTTACAGGGTAGGTTCAGGAGAGTGAGTTGGTTGGTGAATCGTGGTCACGGATATGGCTACCAGCCATTGTACATATTGTACTGTTATGTTATACCAAATTTAACTTCCGTTGTCATTTTACGACTTTTCAACTGGCATGTCAGTTTTCATATGTTGATTCGATTTATCGGTCAGACTTTTCTAAAGTATTATATGCTAGTTCATTTAAAATAGTCCGTTTATTCTTCAAAGTTAAATTTAAATAAATATAACGGATTTTCAAAGCAATGTATGGTTTTTAGTAGCATCCCGATAAGGATTTCGCAAATAAATATGTTTTATTAAGATAAGTTTTGCGAAAATTTAACTCTGATAATTACGACATAGCGAGGTGTTACAGCGGCGACCGTGTAGTTTATTTGGAATGCGAGGAACCGATTGATCTTTGAGAATGAAAGCCAACCTCCAAGCTTCGTGATTAGAAAGGTATAGACTCATGTCTATCGATCTATCTTTGTTGTTTACCCGAGTGTTTTGGCCGAATTCGAGAGGAGGTGTCTCGGTAATCTTTGAGTTGGTTGTTGTGAAGTGTGGTTGCACTTGGACAATTTTGTTACGCGAGTGAGCAACCGGATTGTGGTTGTCCTTGTTATTTTTGCTCTTGCGAGTGAGGAGTCGACTTGTGGCTACACGCTACGTTCTTGAAAGCCGCTTTGGTTGTATGACTTTACGTTTTGATCAATATAAATTTATTTAACGATAAAAAAAAAACAAAAACAAAAACGTTTACAAATACGAAATATATTCTTTTGTATAGAAAAATAGTTGCACTTTGAATATGCATTACTGCCAGACTGATTGCACGTTAATTTATTTCAAATTGCACTTTAGTGACAGACGGATTGCACACTAGTGACTATCAGATTGCACTGTAGCGACCGAACCCGAGTGAATTAGTTTTTCGTGTTCAATTTTTATGTCGGATCGATTATATGTGTTTACCTTTAAAATTTCAGTTATTTCGATGGAGTGTCATCTTTTATTTAATAACCGAAATAACCGGTCCGATCAAACTATATAAAAATATTAGTAAAATATAATTTTTTCGATAAAAATATATAAAATGTTAGACAAAAATATTAATGTGCAATTTACATAACATAATGTGCAACTTAATTATCGTTAACGTGCAATTTACATATCATTAATGTGCAAGTAATGAAATTTTTATAAATTATAAATTTGACTTCATGAAATGTAATATATTAAATTTTATACATTTGCAATTGAGACCTTCAATTATATCAATTTTTTTTAAAAAAAAATCATAAATTCAAAAATGCAAAGTTCTTGTATGTCCCTTCCTGTCCGCGATGGTACGACGGGGTTGTCGCGGCGACGAGCTTAATGGCAGCGACTGAGGGCTGTCGTGGCAGGCGGGTGGTGGTCTCGCCGCCGGCGACCTGAAACTTTTTTGGTGGGGTGACATGGCAGAGATACAGTGGGCCGGTTGCGGTGGTGGCAGGTGGCTAGGGGATGATGTCGGCACAATATTAGTGGAGTGGTTGGTGGCGGTGACGGGCTGGTTGCTTCGATTGGAAGAAGATGCGAACGTCGGAGGCGGATGACGAAAGGGAGGCGAGGATGCTGTAGCCTGACGGATGAGGTGAAGCGACGGACTAGTGGTTGATGGAGGAGGCGAGGTGGAGGATTGTTGACGGTGGCCATTGCGGTGGCCGTCGACGTTAGCACTCTCGCCGGGAGATCTGAACGAGTTAGTGGGCTCGGCGAACAATGGCGGCAGCAGTTCAGACGACGACACTGAGGTGACCGGTGAGATCGTTGCGGTTGTGGCGGAGGTGGTGTGCCAGAACCAGCGAACCATGGCTGGGCTGTGAGCTTGCCGGCGGCTGTCGGAGAGAGAGAGGGACTGAGTGAGTGAGATAGAAAGGTAAATAGGGGAGAGAGAAGAGTGGAGAGAGGGGTTGTTAGGGAGAGTTATTGTGAGGCCCATTGAATTAATTGTTTGGTGAAATTACACAGCTTCGTCCAATATATTTATTTGGCCATGAAATAACAACATAATTACAATTTCGCCACTGCGTGTTTGACCAGTATAAATCAATTTTGACTTCATTATGTTTATTGATGTAATTGATCTAATGATCCAAGATCATTCTTTTTTCTTTCATTGTGTTTCATTCTCATTTTAGCGCATATATATATATCACAAATTTTGGGGACAATCTGTTAGATTTTGATTGATTTTATGTCCCACATCGGATGTATACCAAAGATGTGTAGGATGTTATTACTATAAATAGGTCCCTTGCATTTGGGTTACAATTGCACCTTATTCTATTCTCTCCTATTTAGAAGGAAATTCTTAATTAAGGAAATCCTATTTTGTGGGTTATTTAACCCTAGTTGTATTTTGTTGGTGAGTTTAGTTAATTTGGCGTTGCAGTTGGCTGTGCCCGGAGACGTAGGCTATTTTCGCCGAACTCTGTTATCAATTTTTGTGTTCTTTTCTTTCCCGTCTTTTATATATTTGTGTTGGCTTATTTTTCGTTTTGGAGTAGTGCTTGCCATATTTGTTGGAGGGGTATTTTTGTCCGCTGCGCTTGTTGCGATACCCCAACAAGTGGTATCAGAGCCGAAGGTTTGTCCCAGGCTCATTCGGAGAGACGAGCACTGCATACGGGTCCGAGATGTCCAAGGAGTTCAAGGGCGCATCATCCTCTGCATTCATTCCGGCATGGACGGTGATGCCGAACGTCAAACTCCCGGTGGAGATCTTCGATGGGACCGGTCATTTTAGCATGTGGCAAGGCGAGGTGCTGGATTGTTTATTTCAGCAAGGCGTTGACATTGCGATTGAAAAGGAGAATCCAACAGACGTTGAAGAGAAGGACTGGAAGAATATCAATCGCTTAGCATGTGAAACAATTTGTTCGTGTTTGTCGAGGGAGTAGAAGTACGCATTCAAGAAAGAGAACTTTGTTCACACTTTGTGGAAGGCTTTGGAGGATAAATTTCTGAAGAAAAGCGGCCAGAATAAGCTCCTCATGAAGAAGCGATTGTTTCGTTTTGAGTATAGGCATGGCACATCGATGAATGATCACGTCAATGCATTCAATCAGCTAGTTGCAGATTTGTTGAATTTGGACGTCACATTAAGCGATGAAGATTTGGCTCTAACGTTGTTATCATCACTTCCAGAGGACTTCGAGCACTTAGAGACTACTCTGCTCCATGGGAAGGACGATGTAACTCTTGCAGTGGTCAATTCTGCTCTGTATAGCTATGAGTTGAGAAAGAAGAACAAACAAGAGACGAAGAATGCAGCAGCAGAATATGAAGCGTTAGTTGCAAGAGGTCGGTCGAAGAGCCAAAAGTAGAATGGACGAGAAAGATCACGTTCCAAAGCCAAGCTTGAAAAAGACGAGTGTGCTTTCTGCCATGAGAAGGGACACTGTAAGAAAGATTGTCCTAAGTTGAAGAAGAAGGGCAAATCTCCTCAAGATGCATATGTTGTTGAGGGTGGAAGTGAAGACTCAGAATTTTCACTTGTGGTTTCACCTTCATCATCTCATCCATACGAATGGATTTTGGATTCAGGATGCACCCACATATCTCCCATATGGGATTGGTTCTTTAATTTTCAGGAAAGCAATGGAGGGGTTGTCTATATGGGTAATGATAATGCCTGTAAGACAACTGGGATAGGTTCAATCCATTTAAAGAATCGCGATGGTTCCACAAGAGTTTTGACGGATGTTCGGTATGTGCCGAGTTTGAAGAAAAACCTCATCTCATTAGGAGCCTTGGAATCCAAAGGCTTGGTAGTGACTTTGCGAGATGGAGTTATGAAGGCTACATCCGGCTCGCTCGTGGTGATGAAAGACATAAGGAGGAATAATTTGTATTACTATGAAGGTGATACGGTTGTTGGGACAGTAACAGTAGCAGATTCCACCAACAAGGAGTCTGAAGCAGTCAAGTTGTGGCATATGCGGTTGGGACATGCTGGTGGAAAGTCCTTGCAAACATTGGCAAAACAAGGACAGTTGAAAGATGTCAAAGTGTGCAAACTAGACTTTTGTGAGCACTGTGTTCTGGGAAAGCAGAAGAGAGTGAATTTTGGATTATGTTCATTCAGACGTGTGGGGACCTTCTAAGACCCCATCATTAGGCGAAAGATGCTATTTTGTCACTTTCATCGATGAATTTTCCAAACGTGTTTGGGTGTACACTAAGAAGACGAAGGATGAAGTGCTTGGTGTCTTCATTACATGGAAGATACAAATTGAAAACCAGACTGGAAGGAAGATCAAGGTCCTACGTACGGACAATGGTGGTGAATATAAAAGTGATCCCTTTCAAGAAGTTTGCCGTAATAATGGCATTATTAGGCACTTCACCGTTAGACAGACACCACAAGAAAATGGGGTGTCGGAGCGCATGAATCGAACATTGGTGGAGAAAGTTCGATGTATGTTGTCCAATGCTGGTTTGGGCAAGGAGTACTGGGCTGAGGCTGTAACAATGCGCAACACCTCATAAATCATTTGACGTCATCTGCAAAAGATGGTAAGACACCGTTTGAGGTCTGGACGGGGAAATCTGTTGCTGATTATGGATCTTTACATGTCTTTGGGTGTCCTACGTTCTATCATGTGAAGGATTCAAAGTTAGATCCAAGAGCGAAAAAGGCTTTGTTCATGGGAATCACAATTGGCGTGAAGGATATCGTCTTTTGTGTCTTGAGACGAACAAAACTGTGTTTAGCAGGGGTGTTATATTTGATGAACAAAGTATGATAAATACGACGCAAACCCAACAGGTGGAGTTGACACCGAAGCAGGTGGAGATAGATGCGATGACAAGACAACCAACTATGATCGACGAAACAATATCAAACGATTCGTCCGATGATGAAGTTCAGACTCATGAATCATTAGATTTACACATTGCATTGAGAAAGACCAGATGAGAGATTCAATAACCTGCTCGATTGGCAGATATGGTGGCTTATGCACTTCCAATTGTTGATGATGACATACCTTTCACTTTTCAAGATGCAATTCGAAGTTTAGAAAATGAGAAGTGAAAATGGGCTATGGAGGAAGAAATGTTGTCTTTCCAGAAGAATCAAACTTGGAAGGTGACGCAACTACCAAAAGGCAAGAGGGCGATAGGATGGAAGTGGGTATTTGCAAAGAAAGATGGATTTTCTCATAAGAATGATGTGCGCTACAAAGCAAGGTTGGTGGCTAAAGGCTACGCTCAGAAGGAAGGAGTTGATTATAATGAAGTGTTTTCTCCAGTTGTTAAACACTCATCCATTAGAATTTTGTTGGCCTTAGCAGCACAGTTGGATTTAGAGCTAGCTCAACTTGACGTGAAGAAGGCATTCTTACACGGAGATTTAGATGAAAAAAACTACATAACTCAGCCAGAAGGATTCAAAATTCTTGGAAAAGAGAATTGGGTCTGTAAGTTGAACAAATCGTTGTACGGACTAAAGCAATCTCCGAGGCAGTGGTACAAACGGTTTGATAAGTTTATGATTGGGCAGAAGTACACGCGAAGCAGGCATGATTATTGTGTATATTTACGCAAGCTGCAAGATGGATCTTTCATTTACTTACTCTTGTATGTGGATGACATGTTGGTTGCATCAAAGAGCCATGTGGAGATTGATCAATTGAAGGCTCAGTTGAATCAAGAGTTTGAGATGAAAGACTTGGGGGAAGCTACGAAGATTCTCGGGATGGAGATAAGCAGGGACAGAGTGAGAGGCAAGCTTTGCTTGACTCAAAAGCAATATCTGAATAAGGTACTGCGGCGTTTCGGCATAAAAGATGAGTCGAAGCCTGTAAGTACACCACTTTTCCTTCTCTCATTTTAAGTTAAGTGCCCAGTTATCGCCAAATTGTGATGAAGAACGAGAGTACATGGCTAGAGTCCCATATGCAAATGCAGTTGGCAGTTTGATGTATGCGATGGTGTGTACAATGCCCGACATTTCACAAGTAGTTGGTGTTGTTAGCAGGTATATGCATAACCCTGGGAAAGGTCATTGGCAAGCTGTGAAATGGATTCTTACGGTACATTCATAGTACTGTAGACGTTGGATTGGTTTATGAGCAAAATGAATTTGGTCAGTGTGTAGTTGGATATTGTGATTCTGACTACGCGGGTGATTTGGATAAGCGAAGATCAACAACTGGATATTTGTTCACTTTTGCAAAAGCTCCAATCAGTTGGAAGTCTACCTTACAGTCAACAGTTGCTTTGTCTACAACAGAGACAGAGTATATGGCGGTTACTGAAGCTATGAAGGAGGCTATTTGGCTTCAAAGTTTGCTTGAAGACTTGGGAGTTGGTCAAAAGAACGTCTTAGTGCATAGTGACCGTCAAAGCGCTATTCACTTAGCGAAAAATCAAGTATTTCATGAAAGAACGAAGCATATTGATGTTCGCTATCACTTTGTGCGGGAGATTCTAGAAGATGGAACCGTTGTGTTGAAGAAGATCAAGGCGACGGAGAATCCTGCAGATATGATGACCAAGGTAGTGACAACAGTCAAGTTTGAACATTGTTTAGACTTGACAAACATTCTGCATATTTGAGTTGGCGCCGAGAGACGCATTTGGAGGCACCGCTAGCAGTTGAGTTGAGAGTGGGAGCAAAATTAGTCAAGATGGAGAATTGTTAGATTTTGATTAATTTTATGTCTCACATCGGATGTATACCAAAGCTGTGTAGTATCTTATTAGTTTAAATAGGTCCCTTGCCTTTGGGTTACAATTGCACCTTATTGTATTCTCTCCTATTTAGAAAGAAATCTTTATTTAAGGAAATCCTATTTTGTGGGTTATTTAACCCTAGTTGTATATTGTTGATGAGTTTATTAAATTTGGCGTTGCAGTTGGCGGTGCCCGGAGACGTAGGCTATTTTTGCCGAATTCCGTTATCAATTTTTGTGTTCATTTCTTTCCCGTCTTTTATTTATTTGTGTTGGCTTATTTTTCATTTTGGAGTAGTGCTTGTCATATTTGTTGGAAGAGTATTTTTGTCCGCTCGCTTATTGTGATACCCAACCATCTCACCTTATCATATCCGCCACAGTGGAAAATAATACCCAGAAATACATTTAAAATTTCTCCGGATAAAGTATTAATATTAATTAGACAAGACACATAGAAGTTTGTGGAATATAATATATTGGAGGAGTACACTGATATTTTTACGAGGTTGGCCCGGTTGGGTGTTTCCTCTGTGACAGCGGTCTAAGTAGGTCTCGAAGAGCATCACAGGAAAGTTCCGTCTCCAGCAAATGTGTCAAAACTGTTGCCCAGGTTTTACCGGTCAAATTATAATTAATGCATGACTAGTTAGTATTAGTAGTTTTGTGGTTATACGAAATTAATAACAAAACCTCAATTACAAGGGAGATCAAAGGTTAAACTTGGAATTACGACGTATACATTATCAAACTTCTTATGTTCCATAATTTGGGCCATACTGTAGTGCTCGACTGATGTCACAGTCCCAATTTGTAAGGTATTGTGAAAAGAAAAAAAAAAAAAACTAGTTTTATAAATGTTGTTCTTTTTAGGGAAAAATTCAAAATTAGTTCCACAAGTATAGGGGTGACATTTTTGGTCCTAACGGAATCCAGAAAATATTAATAGTTCCGCAACTTTTAAAAAATGAATCAAAAGTAGGATTTTTTTCAATTTTCCGGCCCGTAATGCCACGTGGCCACATTCATCTGACGTGGCTGAGTACAATGGCAAGGAAAAAAAATCAAAACTAGTCCCACAGGTTTTGGGAGGTGACATTTTTGGTCCCAAAAGAATCCATAAAATCTTAAATAGTCCCACCATGTGTGTGCCACGTGGCATTCCGGGCCGGAAAATTTAAAAAATTCCTACTTTTGATTATTTTTTAAAAACTGCGGGACTATTAGTATTTTTTGAATTTCGTTGAGACAAAAAATGTCAACCCCCTATACCTGTGGGACTAGTTTTGAAATTTTCTCTTATTTTTATTAAGTCTAGTAAAAAGCACATGCATTGTACGTTGATGAATGTTTTTAGTCAACTAATTTTAGTAAAATAAATTAGTTAATTTATTAAACATATCCTTGTCGAAACGAAGTAAAATATAGAACAAATGAGCTTCTAATGTTTTTTTAAATAAAATAATGATGACTTAATAATGAAATAACATATTACAACCCCAAGAAAAAATATAGTCCTAGTGGGAAAAGAGACCTCAAATTAATAATTAAATAATGATCTAATATATATTATAGATGCATTAGTTATTTTATTTAATTATGTTAGATTATTAAAGAGTTGTTTTCTTTCATTTTGGTTTTGACATTTTCATAACAAACATTCTTACTCGTTGTACCCCAGTACATCAATACTATTGCAAAAATTTTCTTAATTCATTTTGCAAAACGTCTACTTTATTCAAACACTTATAAATATACTCGCGAAACATATAGTCAAATTTCATGATTGTATGATCTTTATAAGGTAATCATGAATATCTTTGTCAAATAAGCAACCTTATCATTAAATTGTCGATATTTTTTTATCATTGTATAAACTATTTGATTACTATGTCCATATAGTCAAATTGCAACCTACCCCATGAATGCATTGTCCAATGGGGTGGAAATGAATTTCTTCTCCAACAAAAATTGACTTTCATAATCTTGGTTACAATTACTTCTCCCGAGACACTAAATTACTTTTTAAAATCATCACATTACATGAAAGTACGTACTGTAAAGTAATTGTACATATGCTCGAGCGAAATACACAATGAGATTGTAATTATTCCTATAAAAAAGAGACGACCAGGACCAACGCTTTCGAGATCAGCTAAAGGCGACCAAAACCACCGCTTTCGAGATGACCTAAAGGCGACCAGGACCAGCACTTTCGAGACAAGCATGCCGACGGTCAAGAACAGCCCTGTCCACGCCTGAGCTAGACTCCCTAGAGTGAGTTTGTCGTGGACGAATCAAGCACATCCAGAAGCGTAGAGCAGCAGTACACCCAAGAAGTTTTCGAGAGTGTGTGAGCATATGGGCTGCAGCAAGCCGAGCCTTTCCGAGGAAGAGAAGTAGCAAAGTCCTCCACCCTTAGTCATGAGTCTCTTTTCCCTTGTTTCCCAGCGAAAGGTATTAGCTGAGCCTCGCATTTTATCCATTATGATTGAGTTTTTTACGGTTGAAAATTTAGTTAGAGAAGAAGAAGTTTAGCATGTTAAAGAACTTATTAAGAAATATTAGAAGAAAAAAAGAAGAAGATTAATGACATGATTGGTATAATGGAATGGAAAGTCGTATGAATGGAATGAATTGAAGAATTGTATGATTATGGTAATGGAATGAAACAAGTTTTGTCATTGATGCGTTTGGTATGGAGAAGGAATAAGATATGAATGGAATGACATTATCATTTTTTATTACAAAAATAAATAAAAGCTTTTTTAAAAAAATAATATATTTTTAATAAATTATATATAAATACTCGTTTTAATAATCTATAAAAATAAAATAATATATTTTTTAACAATACAAAAAATAATATATTTTTATAATATATAAAAATAAAATAATATATCTTTAAATTATATATAAAAGTATTTTAAAAGTAATATATTTTTAATACATAAAATTGTATATTTTTAATAATATATAGAGATAAAAGTTATATATTTTTTAAAATATATATTTTTTTTCTAATTATACAATAAATTAAATTAAATTTTTAATTTTCTTATTTAAATTTTATTTAAAAGAATAATATATTTTTAATAATATATGAAATTAAAAGTAATATATTTTTAATAATATATATTTTTAATTTTATATAATAATATATTTTTAATAATGTAATTTTAAAATAATATATTTTTAATATATAAAAAATAATATATTTTTAATAATATATAAATTAGAATAATATATTTTCAAATTATATATAAATGGTTTTTTTTTAGTTTTATTTTTATATAAGTATTTAATATATCTAATTAAACAATAAATATAAGTAAGTTTTCAATATTTTTATTTGAAATTTCATTTTTATAATAATTTTATTTAATATATTTGACCATTATTTATAATATATATTGTATATTTATTTTTTATTACTATTTGTTAATTTTATTTATTGAAAAATTGATTCCTACACATATGAGAATGAGAAAACCTTCCATTAACTATGGAATGACTAATCCCATGGAGGTTGATTTTGTCATTCCCATTGGAATGGTCATTCATTTTCAAAAGATATACCAATCATGAGTTAAGGAATAAATAAGGGAATAATCATTCCATTCTCATGTCATTCCCTCATACCAATCATGTCATAATAGTTGTGGCCTTGAATCGATGAGTTTGTTGACCCTTAGGGCACGATTTATGAGTTAATTTACTCACTTTTATTTCATACTCAAAATACAACTCACCTTTAACTCAACTCAACTATCTTTAATAGTATTTATATAGTTAAATAATACAAACCAATCATTCTTACATATCACATCAACTTTAATTCACTATTCATCCGCTCACATAATTTGAACTACCTATCTTCCAATCATTTATATCCCACTTTAACATCAAATCATTATTAACCATTTTATTTTAAATATTATTTCACTACATTTTTTAAATTCCACTAACAACTAACTATACCATTTTTTTCAACATTAACTATGATTAGCAAAGATTGATTCTTCTGAGGGGAGCTTGAATTCTTTAGACAGAGAGTAGTATTCTCTTGGAGAGGAGATTAATTCCAGCATGGGTTGGTCGCAATCTCCCGTATTTTCATATTGTGTATTAGGGTTTTCTTGATTAAGTAGCGGTTTTGGCGTCGTTCGGAGTCCGATGGAGTTCGAAGGGGCGGGGAACAACGTGGCTGATGGTGACGCGAAAGATTTGGGCAGTAAACTTCAGAATAATGAGCTATCGGAATCTGAGAGTTGTTTTATCGACCTTAAGGACGAGGACATTAAAATTAGTGCCGAGGAATACAAAAAAAAGCTTGTTTGGGAGAATCACATGGGATAGGAGAGCGAGTCTAATTGGATTTCGTAGAGCCATGGGAGCTATCTGGAAAATCAAATTTCCTATGGAGGTGAAGGAGCTCAAAACCAATTTCTTCCTGTTCACCATTGGAAGCATAGCGAATATGCAGAAAGTTATGGCAGGAACCATTTTGGTTTTATAAACTAGTACTTAGCTTTAGTAGAATGGGAGGAAGGGCTTACGGAGAAGCACACAAATTTTGTTGAACTTAAGTTATGGGTCTAGGTGAATGGTATTCCTATAAACTGGTTGTGCTCTGATGTTGGTCTAAGGGTAGGCAAAATATTTATGCAGACAAAGAATGTTACTGTAGTAAAGGCAGGAGGAGAAAGAGGAAGCTATTTGTGGCTTCTAGCAATTGTGGATGTTCCGAAGCCTCCAGAGTGGCCAATCTAAGATTGAATAACACTCAAGTAAGAGCTAGTTTTAAGTATGAAAGGTTGGTAAATACTTGTTTTTATTTTGGTATTATAGGCCATTTGGAAAGAGGTTGTGACAAAAGGACAAAAGGATAGCTGATATAGATAAGGGGGTGTTCAAATAGGGCCAATATGGAGAATGGTTGAGGGCAGTGGACAATTTTGGGGGAAGCAGGCTCAGCTCCAATTTTAGTACTGAAAATCCTTCTTCTGATTCCCCCTCAAACATACAACCATGTAGTCAAGAAAACCACATTGAGAAAGTTGGGCATATATCTGCTGGGAGTGGAGTTCACACGCAAAAGGGCACAACTACCAGTATAGAGAACCAACCTGATCCAACAATGATGGTTCTTCAGCCACCAGAAAAGGAATTAGCAGCTAGCTTGTCGATCATACAACTAACTCGTAGCAGTGACAATGGAGTCTTGCAAGCAAATTACCAAGGTCCAAATATGGAGTTGGAGTCCACACCAAATCTTCACACCTTAACAGAGAATGCAGAGAACTCTGTGGTGGACATTGCAAAAAGAAAAGGATGGAGGAGGAAATCCAATGCACTAGTGGGCAAGGCTATCACTACAATTTCACCTTGTATTAACCAAGAAGAGCTCATTCCAAGAAGAAGGAAGAAGAATCTGGCAGTGGCTATTATGGAGATTGCTGAGGATGCTCATGGGACCAGAGGTAACAAAAAACACAAAAATTCTGAAGATAATGTGGGGGTGGCCAGCCATGAGTGGCCCCCAATGAATCAATGAAGCTAATGATGTGGAACTGTAGAGGGTTGGGTGGACTCTCTACAGTTGCCCAAATCAAGGAGTCTTCCAGACTTCACCATCCTATTTTGTTTTTCTTTCTGAAAAAAAAAAAGAATAATTTTATTAAATCTGTTTGTAATAAAATAGGTTATAAGGGTAGGTGGTTTGCAATTGAGCCTAGGGGTTTGAGTGGGGGCTTGCTTGTTTTGTGGAACAGGAGGTTGCTATTAAGCAAATTTTAAGTAATCACGTTTGCATTCAGATAGAAGTGGATAGTATTGGGGAGGAGGGGTATTTTTGGGTTTCTTTTGTCTATGCTAGCACTGATAAAAATAAGACAATCATGCAGTGGGATTTTCTAGAGTCTGCTAGAAGTATCTGGGGGAATAGATGGATTTTTTTTTTGGGGGAGGGGGGGGATTAGAATGAAATTGGTGATCCTAGTGAGAAGATGGGAAGGAGGCAGAGAGCAGATTATGAGTATAGGGGTTTCAATGAGTTTATTTCTAGAATGGGAATGCAGGAATTGCCTTTGCTGGGGCATAATTTCACTTGGGGCAATAACAGAGGCGATGAAGGTTTTATTGAAGAAAAAATAGACAAACTCATTGTTTCTTCCGATTGGTTGGCAGATCATCAGAATTCTGAGGTTTCCAACATCTACAAAAGTTCATCTGATCACAGGTTGTTGTCTTTGAATGAACTCCACCAGAGTTCACCACAGAAAAGAAGATTTTATTTTGATAAAAGATGGCTGCAAAGGGATGGAGTTCAGGAGGCAGTGCAAGAAGGTTGGCAGACTGAAATTGGTGGTACTTCTATGCATCAAGTCTCAAAAAAGATAAAAGCCACAAGTGTATCCTTGCTCAAGTGGAGTTCATTATTTAGAAGGGAGCAGATCCAGAAAAATAATGAGATCAACAGCTCATTGGAATGGATGAGCAAATTGGGTGCAGCCAGAGATTGGGAGGAGTGGGGTAGACTGAGAAGGGAATTTGACAAGGTGACTAAAGAAGAAGAGGAGTACTGGGCACAGAAGTCAAGAACTCAGTGGATCAAGGAGGGAGATTCCAATACCAAATATTTCCATGCTCTCACCTTGCAGAGAAGAAAGCTCAACTCTATAACAAGGCTAGTGGATGATAGCAATCACATTCTGGAGACTAAAGAAGATATCATTAATCATATTTGTTCCTATTATGAAAAGTTGTTCAATACTGAGCATTCAAGAGGGGAGACAGATATTTTGCAACTTATCACAACATCTATAACTCCTGAAATCAATGAGTCTCTTACTACATCTATCTCAGTGGAAGAAATCAAATCAGCTTTATTCAGTCTCAACCCAGGAAAAGCTCCAGGTCTTCATGGTATGAGTCCACTATTTTTTCAGATGTGTTGGCATGTTATATCTCATGATTTTCGCAAAGCTATTATCAGTTTCTTTGAATCCGGGCAACTACTGAAGAATTGGAATCATACTCTTGTTTCTCTGATCCTTAAGTGTTTGAATCCATGTTCTCTTAAGCAAGACAGGCCTATTAGCATATGCAGTGTTTCCTACAGAGTTATTGCCCCCCTCTTACCATTAGCAAGAACTTGTTTTACTTGTTCATCATAAGGAATTCGAACAACTGCAAGCAAAAGTTCCTAGATTCATGGAGATATAGAACATCATATAAATTATCATGCTTGTTGTTTGCAATATTTTTGGGCAAGAAGTAACCGAGTTACCCTACTCGGGTCGTTCTCAAAGGAAGATTAGCCGGACTAAATCGAACGTTTATTTAATATACAAAAGAGAAAATAATCCTAAACATTCTAATTCAATTTGATGATTGGATTTTTAACCTAAATTTTACAACTTTTAACAATAATAAAATAACTAAAATGACAATAATATTCCAAGCTATTATTAATGCTATCGTTTTACTCGTAAAACTTTCAAACGAAAAATTCGTTTTACTAGTAAAAACTTTCGAACGATAAAGTTGTTTTACTCGTAAGAACTTTCAAACAAAAAGGTCGTTTTACTCGTAAAACTTTCAAACGATAAAGTTGTTTTACTCGTAAAAACTTTCAAACGAATAAAATGAAAAATATAATTTATAATGAATTTAAAAGTTTAGGGTATTGGGGATAATCAATTCCGGTTTTATTAACATTTATTATTAATTAAATTACTTGGTTAACCGGTTCACTTAATTAACTCATCTAGTAGTTTATCCGTACTAACTCTCGTAATATACGGATGAACTTTAAAGAAATGAATTAGTAAAACAGTTAACACATAAACAATACGTTTCCGAACATGTCTATTCCAAACAAATCAAGTTCTATCAATTTTGCCTCTATCGATTTTGAAATTGATTATGTAGATTAAAATGGTGATCAATCATTTAACCATAAGATTAATAAAATTTGTAAATATTGATAATAAAAATACTTAAAAATGTTAATAAACCAAACTGATTATCCCTTAACCCTAATTAGGAAATTAGTTGATCATATTGGTTTTAACATACAAATTCTTATGGAAATAAACCATTGATAACATAAAATGAAAAGAAAATTTACTATTGATTCACAAGAAAGAGGTATTGCAAACGTAATGTCTCAACATATCAACAATATTCAAACTTATAAACTTCAAAATACAAAAAGATTAAAACCGAGCTTGCATGCAAAGATCAAACTTGAAAAATATCTAGAACACTAAGAACACTCTTGGAAATATTACAAAGAAAGAGAAGTTGTACATAACATGGTGAAGAAGTGAATGAATTAAGATGGTAATGAAGGTGGTTTATATAGGGTGAAAAAAATCCTTAATTTCCTAACTTATGCATAATTTTTCTTCACCCATTCATCAACCATGCATAATTTCTTCACCCATACATCAAACATACCTAAAAGACCCAATTTTCACATCCATAATGGTTGTTAACTCAAAATATTGATATAGGCTCGGAAAAATCTGAAAAAAAAGGGTGCAAGGGCCGCTGGGCGCGGCATGGCGCGCGCAGGGGCGCGCAGCAAGCAGGCGCGCGCGCGCGCGGGGGCAGCAGTGCACGCGTTTACGTTTTTGGCTCGTTTGAGCTCATCCGAACTCGGAATTTAGTTCCGTTTTTTCCTACGCGTTGCTAACGAACCCCTCTATCCAATGTTGCTTGAAAACCACACTATTGCTCAGAGTACAAATTATGTGGAATTTCCAACCTTTAAAGGGTCGGTAACTTGCGCAGCTTCGCGTTTTGGTTCCGTCCGGATTCATCCGAACTTGAAATCAAACTCTATTTTTTTCTTTGTGTAGCCAATGAGTCCATCTACATAACCATAATTGCCCGATCCATGTCATTCCCTCACAATGCCTCCGACCTGCACACGAAAAACAAGAAGAAAAACAAGAAAAAACACACGAAAAACACAAAGGAAACCAAAATAAAGGAAAACACAGAATAAACTATAAAACGAAATAAAAACCAACTAAAAGACATAAAACGGGAGAAAAAGAATGATAAAACAACAACAAAAATTGCAACAAAAATGGTCACAACACCTCCCCCACACTTAAACCTTTGTTCGTCCCGAACAAAGAGAAAAGAAAACAAAATACGAACATGGGTATCATTTCAAATAAGTCATGGTTCAAAATGTTTAACTCTATCAAGTCGAATTCCAACAACCATACGACCATATGCCTCAAATATAATATCGGCCTTAAAATGACAGAGGAACGAAGTCGCTCTTCCTCAACAACCCGGGAGTAAGCTCGTTCGAAGGTTGGAAGAGGATCTGTCGAAAGTAAGTTGGAGCGAACGGAGCCGTACAAATCTGAATTCAAACCCATTAAAAATTGGTGTAGGCGCTCAGTTTCTCTGTGCTTCTCC